CACGGAGTAGACTGAATGAATCATCCTTTCCCAACTCGGTTCCCCTAGTTTCCACAATGTCCGCCTTGTCACACGTGGCCGCTTGCTGTTCCCGGTGAAAGAGAATTATTTTGTCGAGCGAGCCTGATTATTCCATCACTGGCAATCATTTTAAACAGCGGGGATCGTTTATTCAATGATTCACGGTCTCTCCTCGCGAGATTCCGAATTTATCTGATATCAAGGATGTTTACGCTTCGCCTTCGTTTCCCGCGCAGATAAGAATTACTCCACTTAATTGCGATATTTCTCACAATATACCTGCTTTCCCTTGTATAAACGCTGAATCGTTTTAATCCACCACTGGACTATAAATATTCATTGAAAGCAGCTTTTTCGTACAGAAATTTTAAGAAACCTCGATAAACAAGCATTTCTAATGTAATTATATTTTTATGAGAAGGTACATTTTTATAAAATGTTGTAAGAAGCGTTTAAGAAAATTGTTTGGAACATGTTTAACCCTCGCGATTTTGAAGTCAACAAATCCTGTTGATTTATTTTCTGTTTCATAGCAAAGTGGTCAATAAAATCAATTAACACTCAAACTACCGAGCAATTGGAGTGAGTTGTTTCTAAGTTTTTATAAAAATTAGAACAATATATTTCTGGACATTTAATAGGTTCCTTATTGTTGTATCTATACAAATATAAATTTATTTTAGAATTTTTCGCAGAAGCCTTGTCACGATTTAAATACTTCCAAACTAAACATTCTAAAATGGGTGAATTTGACCGTCTGATAATTTCAGTGTTAATCAACTTAAACTTTTATACTTGCTCCTTGTCTTGTTTTTATAGAAAAACGATTCAGCCTATATATATCCAAAGAAACAACCCAACAAATCAATGTTCCATTTCAAAATACTTCCAAATTCCTTCGGAACTACTAAACTTCTTTTCTCAGTCCCTCGCTTGACCCTTATTAAACTAAATTAGTTTTTATAAAAAAACAATTCAGCTTATATATAATCTAAAGAAGCAACCCAATAAATCAATGTTCCATTTCAAAATACTCCCAAATTCCATCGAAACTTCCTTTTTAAGTCTGTCCCTTGTCCCTTATTAAACCCCCGGAATCCCAAAATCGTAGCCAGAACCTGTCAAAAAGCCGGTCCACCGGAATATCCTACTAAAATTCGTCAGGCCGTCTCCCTAATGAATATTTCAGTTTGAAAAATTGATGGCTCGGATTTTCCTTGTGTCCATTACACGAGCGTCGCGCGATAGCCGCCGCGTCAATCACGGAGTCCCCCATCTAATGGGATGGTTATCCAATGATATATTTCGGTCAGTTCTTTTCAACGAAGGAAGTGGCTGATTAGTACTTCAGGTCATGCTTCATTATTCATCTGCCGCGGACGGTGTGAAGCCGATCGTTGGGAAATCTAACGGTACACCTATCCATGATCGTCATTCGAATTCGTTTATCGACGTACGTACGCGCGTGAATCCTCGCTGAAAAGATTTTGGCCCGCGTCGTGGCTCTTTTGTACGTGGAAACGACTTAAAAATATCGTGTTTTGTTCAACGGATTACGAAACGTGAACCTTGACCGTTGAGAGAGCCACGTTCCCGTCACGTTCTCCTCGTTTCGCGTCACCGGTTCGAGGAATCGAAATGCGGAGAGAAAGGTTTTCCCCGTCGTTTGACGACAGGTAGCGAGTTCCTGCGAGATTTCGCGGTTTCTAGGGATCCCTTGGATTCTTTGGCTCGTTTAACCGACAATATGTCGTTTTAACTCGACTATATTTTTAACTGTAAACGTTAATTGTTTTCCGACGAAATGAAAACCCTGCACTCGAGAGACGCCTTTCAGTCGCCATTTCATTTGACCCGAGAAAATTATGAAATTTAAAATTCAATGTTAAATTTTATATAATGCATCAACATATAGTACATCGAAATAAAATAGTTCTGTCACTTCATTTATGCAAGATATTTCTTTATGTTAGTTGTAAAAAATATAACTGATATTTCAATAAATAATAATGAATATTTGTCGAGAAAAATATTCTCGAGAGCAAATTGTTAAAATTCATTATGACTAATTATTGAGTGGGATATTACGGTTTATAAGCTGTTTTTGGAATAGTAAATTAATCATTTATTATTGATTACTGTGTAATCTTTTTATTACTTACTAATTGTTAAAACTGTTTTCTATTACTTCTTAACGTAAAAATACGTTTTTAAATTAATATATTTATTTCCTATAATTATTAAATCTATATGAATCGTAACTACTGTAATTATTAAAATAATTATCGTGAAATTAAGAAACGTAACGAAATTATCTGTTAATGGTTAATCAGGATAATTAATAATCCTCTTAACGAACTAAAACTAACCATATTCCTCACAACTGAAAGCTAAAATCATCTAATATTATTAACTCGTCAAACCTAATCCTACCTTTCCCAATATCCTTCATGTTCCTACATTTACATCACCCATAATTCTCAATTACTATAATCATCATAACATAATTCCCAATGTTCACCTTTAAGAGTACCAAAATTCTTCAAACCCAGTCCCATCTCTCACATTATTCTTACTTCCCTACACTTATGTCCGCCATAATTTCCAATTACTATAATTATCATAGCATAATAATTCCCAAGCGTGCACCTTTCGCAGGACCGAAACCCGTCGCGGACACGTTATAGAGTCAACAGAACATAACTTCTCGCGCCAGGTCGGTGGCAGACAGCGTTGACAGTGAAAAGAACCGTCGACAGTCATTCTTTATATGGAGTGTCGACGGTGTTCCCCGTCGATCCACCAAGAATAGGTTTTTACGGCTGCGGTTGGAGGACAAGAGCGTTGGTGCCCGGTATCCCAAGACCGGCAACGAATTATTTACTTCTCTGCCAGGAATAGCACGACAGGAAATTTATTTATCCACTGTCCCTACGCGCGGCACCCGACGAAAATATAATTTCCTACGGAAAGTCGATTGTGCTTGTCCCGTTGATTCCGTCGATTCTCGAAAATTTTCAAGGTTGCGGCACTGTCGCTCCGTCGAACGACAGGATTCGCTGGATTTAATTGGCCGCGCGAGAACAGGGGCGATCGCTGGAACATCTCGCGGGGAATAAAATTTTCCGTGACGGTTTTATGCCATTTTATTTTCACATTTGATACTTGTACGATTTCGTACGGGATTTATGGAAAAATTGAATGGAACAGCGGAGGAAATTTAATATTCAACCGGGAGGAAGGATCGCGGGAAATATGGAAATGAAAAATATTAGAAAAAGTGGATGTTGGAGTGAAACGATGCGGGAAAAATAACGGTGGATTTTGTTAAGGAGATGGGGATGGAGAGAATTATAGGTGGAACCGTTGGAAAGGTCAACGACACCGCGTTATAAATAGGCATTCATACAGGAATACCATTCTGACGTAATTTTGTGCATTCCGGTACCAAAATGTCACCCATCTGCCACGAAATTCTCGCTTCATCCTTTCGGTGTTGCACAAGCGTACTGTTTCCTCATCCTTGCGACGCCAGCTAACGATTGGCGCCGCCATAAATGGCGAACGCGTACGCGGTGTATGAAACGCTGGCTGGCTGGCTGTCTATGCTGCTCGAGTATTATTCGTTTAATCTGCACGATTGTATTTATTGTTTCTAATATGTTCAATTAGAATTGATTACAAGTGAAGATTTAATAGAAAAATTTAGTAGAAGTTCAGTTTGATTATAGATCAAGTCTTCATTAGTTATGGGCTAAGTCTAGATCAACCAAAGTGAGAATATAATGTTCTAATAGTAAAGGAAAAAGAAGAGTCAGTACGTTTTAAAAGATTTAATAAATTATCAGTGAGTCTAGGGTAAAATTATACCAAGTGAAAAATAGTTTGAATTTAGGGGATAAGGAGATTCTAAATCAAATTTTCATTCGACCGAAATTAAATCTGTAGTAATCAGAAGTTAGGTCTAAATTAGAGTATGAAAGATATTGTTAGTAGAAAGATAAAGATAAAGTTCTTATAGAAAAATTAAGTTGTCACTAATCCCAAATCTATACCAACCATAAGTTAGGTCTAAGTTAAGGTAGCAAAAAGCTTCTTAAGAAGAAGCTTCTATAAAAAATCAAGCTCTCATTAATCCCAACAGAAATCTAAGCAAACCAAAAATTCCAACTTCTTCTCAAATGAAACCTAAAAAATCAAGCTCTCCTTAGTCCTTACTAAATACTACATCAGCCAGAAGTTAGGTCTAAGATAGAGCATCGAAGAGATCGTCAGCAGAAAGAGTATACAGTCTTCATAGAAAAATCCCATTACTCCCACCTTAAATCTAAACGAACCAAAAGTTAGGTCCAACTTCTTCTCGAATGAAACCTAAGAAACCAAGCTTTCCTTAGTTCCAACTAAAAGCTGCGCCAGCCAGAAGTTGCGTCCAAGATAAGGTAGCAAAAATGTTGCAACTGGAAACAGTAACATTCTCCTTGAAGAAAGAGTGAAGAGTAGCCGGGGGCAGTTAGGAGCAACGGGACAGACGTTAGGTGCCAGGCAAATTCTCGACGTGACGACAGAGTGAGCGGCAGCGTCGACTCGACAATTGGCAATTAGCCGGTTCGGGTCGCTGGGTCAATTGGACCCACGCTTCCAGCTTGGATTCGCGAGTCCGGTCACGTCTTCCCGCGAAATTACTCGTTGGTACACGCACAGCCGGCGCTTTCCTGGACGGGCAACTGCAATTGCAACGGCCCGCTGCATCGGGGGCCACATCCTCCTTCGCGTTAGATGCGTTCGACCTTCGCCGCGGTTTGCTCCCGCGATTCCGAACTCTTTTAGCACCGTATCCGCCACCTGACTTTCAGTTATAACCTCTGCATCCCCCCTAACGCGCTGCGCTGATCGTATCACTGCATTCTCATGCTCTTTAAGAACGTATAATTAATTTTGTCTGTTTTTCTGTCTGTTCCAGGTGAGTGTACAGAGCGAACGGTGGCCTTCACTGGTAACGTACTGAATTTAGAGGATTCTTTAGTAGTTTAGTTTTAGTGACGTTTTTTGTTATTTTGGGGTTGTTGGAGAATTGAAAATGAAATTAGTAGAACTAAAATATTTGGAATTTAGTGATTTTCTGTGTTTATACGGGGATATGGAAATTGGTAATCACGCGAGAAAGAAAAATTAGAGTTATTATCGTGATAAATAACTAGCTACAGTTGTCGAGTTTTCGGTTGATTAAATTTTATTAACACTGAAACTATCCAACAGTTAAATTGATTTCTTGAAATTTCTGTATAGAAACTTCGAGAGTGTATCTGTTGAGACTTCAATGAATATAATTCACTTTGCGCATTACTAAATAATTTCTTTAAGTTTCTGAGAACATGTGTTGCCTTTTCAATAATTACAAAAAGAAGAAATGGTAGTTTTAGTGTCAATTAAATGGATTAATCATTGGAGACATTTACCAGATGTCTATTTAAACTAATTGTTATTAAAATAGATGAACAGGAACTTAGTTTGTACATTGAATCTTGGAGCAACGACAGTGTCTAATTACATAGGGATTTATTGGCTAAACGTCACTCTTCCCACCTGACGCAAAGCCAAACTTGCAGGTTCCCCGGTTCTTTATTTAGACGACAGCCGCCAATAAAACGAGCATCCGAGCGTAGGTGTGATCTAATGCTAAGGACTTCCATAACTCGAGCTCTTCGACGCCGGGGCAACGGCGAAGGGTCATAAAACCAAACGTAACTACCTTCTTCGACTATTCGATGTGACCTTGACTTGACCTTGACCTAACCCTAGCATAACTCAGAGCCACACTTCGACTGTTCAATGTAACGACAGCTAGCCTTGAAGAACAAGAAATAAATCCGAAAATATGTGGATGTCCTCAGAGAGACACAAATGGTAACCAGTTCAGCATTGACCTTGAGTCTGCAGTTGATCTCGTGATACCAGCTTCTGGCAAGCTGACGAATAATAATCTTGACCTGCTCTGATCCAGTTTTTGCATACAACTTGCAATTAACCAGATAAATGCGACATTTTTTAGTCAGCCAGTATGGCTGGTAAGGTCGCGTTGACCTTGTACATTGACCTCAAATGCAATCACAATTATTTTTTATATATTTTATTAAATATTTATAGGCATTTCCTGTAAACAATTTAAGAATACACTTTCTTGCCCTACGAGTTATTTCTCTGCTATGATCGATACAATTATTTTATTGTTAATAAATAACACTTACCAAATTTTATTTTAGAAAAACAAATGATATTTGCGCATTCACTTCAGTCGTTTCGTCACGAGTTTGCCACGATATTCTAGGTCAAGCAGTTGAAGTTTCCATTGCTACTTATCATACTATACATATAAAGCAATTAATTCTGGTACTATTAATAATAAACATAACAAAATTGCAATCAGTAATTTTAACCGATAGTCCTACCAATTAACCTCTTAACCTACAATATAGTGTCATACTCGCGACGAAAAGTTTAAACTAAATTCGACAAAAATGTTTATCTTTCTTAAACAGAAATTAAATTTTACTTCTCCATTATCAATCCTTAACCTCTATAGTAAATATATACATAGAACAATCATCAACACTTTCCCTATTCCAATAAATTCTTAACAATAAAACAATTATATCGCTCGTAGGCGAGAAATGAATCATAAAACTAAGGGTTAATATTACTCAAACAAAAATCATTTGCTCACAGGTCATTCAACGGTCAACCTTTGCTTCCGCACGACTGCATTCTGTTCCCCGATCGATCCAACTGAAATTCCAGAAACTCAATCATCGTCCATAATAATATTCCCCATAATACTCCAAACCAATTCAAACACGTCCGTCCGCAGCGTGTTCATTCAGCTCCCGCTTCAAAAAGCACTTGTGTGCAAGGGTTAACGAACGTTGACCACGCGACTTTGCCGGGCAAAAACGCGGGGGTGCCTGCCGTCGACGCGTGAAAACACGGGGCCGCCGGAACAATGGCCGCGATTTTCGGGGAAGGAAAAACGACGATGACGTGGTCGCCGCCACGGCAAGAAGTATAAATGTCACGCGTCAGTCCAGACAATGGACGGCGTGCACGCGGCCATAAGGTCCGCGCCGCGACGTTCTTACTGCCACTTGTTGGAGCACTGCCATATGTCGTTTCGCGGCCGTGCACGTAGGGTCCGCCATGCATGTGGCCTGTGCATGTGCCGCGTAGAGTCCAGGGGACTCGGCTCGTGTGTGCGCGCGTACAGTTTCGAACAAAAAGCACGCGGCCGCTGCGAGCAATGATTAACTGTTGCGGTGTAAATGGGTCTGGTGGTCGGACGGGCACGTCGATGGCACAATCGATTCGAAATGTCGCTTCTCCATCACCGCTCATGACGGCTGAACAAGAACCGGCCGGTTAATCGCGACGATCAAATGTCGATTCTATTTTTTTT